CCTGAGGGATCCCGGATTGTGAGAGGGTGCAGGGCGGGCTGAGGGATCCTCCTTCCCCCCACCCCCATGCACGAATTTCGTGCACCAGACCTGTAGTTAAATTAATAAGTACTCATTCCCAAATCAGCTTCACCTTTAAATATTCCTAATCCTGTATATCAGGGGTGGGGAACATTGGCCTAAGGGCCATATAAAGGTCCTCAAAATCATTTGGTCTGGCCCTGCCAAGGCATTAGGGGTGAGTTGATTAAATGTTTGACCAAACATAGCAGGCTAATTTTTAAGTTGGTAATTTTGTATGGCCCATGAATGATGTTAATGACCCTTGGCAGAAAAAAGTTCCCCACCCCTGCTATATCAATCTATTATAGCAGAGGTGATGTGACAGAGAGGTTTTGGGGAAATATTTCCTTTTTATAATTTTATCTTGATTCTTCTTTTTATTTGGTGAAAAAAAATCTACTTAGGTCAATGCTTTGTCATTTTCAAACATTGCATTTTTGAATAAATACTTCTTGGTCTCAGCCAGACTTCTTGCAATCGTCAGTAGCAGAAGACTGAGTCACTTTCTGCCTCTGAAGTATGCCAAAATGGCTTCTGAGTCAGTGACAGCCGTTGCCTATGTGTGTAATAAAGGATTTTTTTCTTTATAAATAAATCAAATTACTTCCCAAAAAAAGGTGTTAGGAAAGAAATGAGATTAATCTACTAGGAGTAAAGTTAGGCTTTAATAATACTCTCAAAAATGATTTTTCTAACATCTTATTCCACTGAAATTATTTACCAAATCAAATAAATACTATCACTCATTACCATGTTTCTTTTTTTTAACTTCTTTATTGATTAAGGTATTACATATGTGTCCTTATCCCCCCCTTGCCACCTTCCCCCACCCCCTCCACTCATGCCCTCACCCCCCTGGTGTCTGTGTCCATTGGTTGGGCTTATATGCATGCATACAAGTCCTTTGGTTGATCTCGCCCCCTTACTCCCCCCCTCCCCTACCTTCCCTCTGAGGTTTGACTGTCTGATCGATGCTTCTCTGTCTCTGGATCTGTTTTTGCCTCTGAGGCCATTGACAAAACCATTTCTTGCTTAAACTCTTCCCTTGGCATTCATTGCTTCCCTCCCAGGTAGATAAGTTTCTCTCATGTACATATATTCTTTTGTAGATTTCCTTTGTAGATGTGTTCTTCTGCTCACGCCATAAATATTGCATTAGTTTCTCACTCTATACTGTCTGAATGAACTCATTCATAGCCTGTCTTCAGCAACCATTATATTCTGATGACTCCTGAATACATAGTATCAACCCAGACCCTCTACTGAACTTATTGGACCATGCATTTCAACTGCTTGTTATACATTCCCACCTGGATGAACTTCCTAGTCAGCATAAACCTATTCCATAAACCTAAAACCATTTTCTATGTTTTGAAATGGCACCTGGGATATACTCTTGGGTATAGTCCTCTGCTCACTTTTCTCCATCACTTCCTGTCCAATGAGTTATCAGATTCTGTTATCTCTACTTATTAAATACTAGAGGCCCGGTGCATGAAAATTCATGCTCTGGAGGGGGTTCCCTCAGCCAGGCCTTCCCCCTCTCACAGTCTGGGAGCCCTCAAGGGTGGGAGGCGACCTGGCAATCAGGGGAAGGCGATGCCCCATTACACCTCTGCTGCTGCCACTGCCAGCAGCGCAAGCCTCGGCCGGACCTGGTTACCTGCGCCTCGGGTGGCCCTGGGCAGCTGGGGGGCTGTATGCGTGGCAAGGTGGCCCGGCCATGCTGCATGCCTGCTGCCCCAGTGGGGCTGAGGGGACTGGGTGCTACCATCTTGTGGCTGTGGGCACCACCATCATTGAGGGTGTGGCAGTCAGTTAGCATATTCCCTCCTTATTGGCTGTGGGCGCTGCCATCTTTGCGACAGTGTGAGGGTCAATTAGCATATTCCCTCTTTATTAGATAGGATATGATTCATTATACATGCTCCACTGCTACTGCCCTGACTTAGTGTAGGTCCTCATAATTTTTTCCTAGATTTCTGCTGTACCTTCCCTTCCTCCTACACAGCCTATTATAACAGTTTCACACTTTCCCCAAATAACCCTCTATTCTGCCTCCAAAATCATCTTTCTAAAACAATTATAATGAATTATGTTATTCCCTTTCTTTTTCAGAACAAAGTCCAAAATTCTTCACCTTATCATCCAAGGCCCTTCTGTGATCTGGCTCCTGAATTTGCAATGTTATCTCCCACTCTTCCTCTTCAAACAGCTCTCAGATTCAATTCCCACAATGCTCTTTGCTCAGTTTCCTGCTTTCTTTTGCCCATATTTTTCTCCCTACCTGGAGGCCCTTCTCTTCTACATCTTCCACTGGCTGGTCCCTAATTTGCCTTCAGGATTCTAATCACCTGTTATTTCCCCTAGAATTTCCCTGAGCCTTCCCAGACTCAATCAAGGCCTCCTTGCTCTCCTGCATCACCCTTGCCTTTGTCAATCACACCACTATTACTCTCAGTTATAATTATGTTCCTCTTTTCTGTCTGTCTTGCCAGTGTTAAAGACAGAAACAGCATCTTTCCAATCTTTGTGCCTAGTTTCAAACATAATGCTTCATCCCAAATAGATAAATGATAGAAATTTAAATTATGGCTTTGATATGAAAAGAACTATGCCGCCTTAGACGACTACTAGTAAACATCAAGTCTTTGTTCTTATTTTAATAAGTCATCAAGTATATATTAGGATTGTACTTATTGTGCTAATGCTTTATTGTGCTCCTCAAAGTTCATATTTTGTGTCAGAAGCTACTGAGGTATTTAATGCTCTGCCTTTGTTGTAGATTTAATGTTTTAATACATGGCAATTTCTACAGAAGCAAACCTATATATTTTATGAGAACTCTGGAAGATAGGAGAACCTAGAAAGTCATAAAGGCCATGTCTTTACTGTACTCTTAATTTTTTTAAGCAGTAAGGATTGCACAGTTTGTAACAGGGCTTTTGTCAAAATTATCAGGTCAAGTCACATAGAAAGAGAGGGTATTTTTCTTGTTAAACACAATTAGGGGCCATCCATCACTCTCAATGTGAAGGTTTCCATTTTGATCAGCATCTCAAATGTACTAAGTTTCCCTGATTGTTATCATCAATGGGAATTTGATCTCAATGTTCCCGTCTTTGTTTCAGTATGAAGTAATGAATGATATTACAGTTAATTGGAGAAAAATTGCACTTCTGGACCAGGCACGTTCAAGTCAATTTAACTTTGTACATTTATCACAGATAAGCTCCCTAAAAGACTGAATAAATAAAGCTATTTTCTGAGTTGGATTTCATTCTGTTAAATGGAAAGAGTATACTTTCTGCTATAAATATTGGTAATTTCATAAGTTAAGTTATTTCAGCAAAATTTGTCTTTTATATTATAATATAATAACAGTGTTTCATAATTTCTAGTCCTTAATAATTCCAGAATGCAAAACAGATTGTAAAAAAGGGTAAAATAAATGCAAATATGTAAGTATAAGTCAAATCTGTTTTTTAAAGAACAAATGAAATAACTTATGTAATTTTATCATATTTTAAAAATTGCTCAGAAATTAACATAAGCCCTAGGATAAACAATATATAGCATAGTAAGTCAAATATTTAATTTTATATAATGCTATCTATAGAAAGTTATAACATTAAGAAAGGTATAGGTAATAAAAATGTATCAGAGAAGATAGTGAAAAATGTTAATCTTTAATACATCTGATTAATTGAACCTAATTTGCTATGAGTCTGCCATTTTGCATATATGTGAAATAATCTGTTATATATCTCTAATAACATATATGAAATATATTTTGGACACATATACTTGACAAATACATATTTGTTGGTATATAACATATATAAGAAATGTATACATTTCTACCATTCACATGAAGATGGGACTACGTGAAGTGTATGGAGAGAAGATAACCTTTTCTGCCACTGACCTTGAGATGATTAACAGAATCAGGAAATAAATGTCTTTCTCCCTTGAGATTTAAGAAATTAAGCTTGCTTTGGTTTTGTTTTTTAAATTGGTCACTTGTAGGTGTACTTCAATGGATTCTAAGGGGGAATATATGATGTTATTAAATAGCTCAGTGGAAAGTGATTGATGTTCTAAGACACTAGTTTTCCTCAATACCTATAATAAAAGATTTCTTCCACTCTCATTATTTTAGCTACATTCAAATACAAATAATTTCTAAATTTATATTTCTAGCTCAATATTTCTCCATTATTCTAATTTACATATCCAACTACTATCTGGATATTTCAGAGTTCCCTCAAATATATCCAAACTTACTATTTATTCTCTAGCCTATTTCTCCTTCTTTATTTTATCACATTAATGTTGTTACCATCATCCATTATTCAAGTAAAATACTGGAAAATCTATTTGCAACTTTCTCCTCTTACCTACACAATCATTTGCCAAATTTCTTTGATTTTACTTTTTAAATATTTCTTTGATGCATTCTGTTCTCTCTACTCCTACCAGTTTATGGTTATGTCTTAAAGAATTGAGGTTCCTCAACAAACTGATTATCTTCTGCCTGGAAATTATCTCTTTTTCCTGATCTTCCAATTGCCTGGTGTACACCCTTAACCTTTTCTATCATTGCACTGTGAGCTTGTTTCTCCTATTGACTTATAAGATTCCTGTAGGGGCAAGGAACCCTAGCATTTTAATGACCAATACATAAATAGTTCTCAATAAATGAGTGTTACATGAGTGAGTGGTGGACAGTTGATTCAATTAGTTAATTTCCAGAATGCTAAATCACAGTGACTATTTTTAACGCTTTCCAAAATTGCTGATTTTTAATGTACAATGTATTAAAATTGAAAATATTATATTATTCTACTCACATTTATTTTAAAATTTCTATTCATTTTTAACATTTTTAGCACAAGTGATTTTGTAATCATTTTATTCTTTTATTTGTTTTGTAGGTTTTAGAAACTTACATATTGATGACCAGATAACTCTCATTCAATATTCTTGGATGAGCTTAATGGTGTTTGGACTAGGGTGGAGATCCTATAAACATGTCAGTGGGAAGATGCTGTATTTTGCACCTGATCTAATAATAAATGAGTAAGTAGTAACTTGACTTTTGTAGTTCTTATTAGCATAAGTATGTATGTAGGATAATCTTGAAAATTACATTTCAACAGATAATCATACATTTAATGTGCTAAGTAATAGTTTTCTTTTTTTTTTTTTAGTAATAGTTTTCTTGAAAGATTTCTCAGAATTACCTCATGTCGCTTGATATTATCTCATATCAATTATAGCTTGACAATATTAATATAATTATACCATCTTATCAGTTAATTTGATATATGGAGAGTTTTCCTTTTGTTTCAATGTATAGTAATTATTTGAAATGCAATTTTTTTAAACTTCAGGAATGTATCAAGAAATATACTTAAAGACAAAATTAAATGTTTATTTATCAAATTAAAATTTCTTTGGTGCTAATGAAGATAATGAAGTAAATTATAAATAATTTGCTTGAAAATATTGATTTACCTTCAAAAGGTAAAGACATCTCTCATTAGAGGAAAAACAACACTGAGGATTTATTTTTAAAATTGACAGATAAATATTTTAATTTGCTTGATTATATTTAAATTTCTATAATTAATGTTCTACATATAATCTTTAAATCATTATCTTTTCATGGAAATATTTATACTATTTTAATGGTGAATGTTGACTCAGAACTATATAACATAACATATAAATCTTGACAGTTTATAGTTAACTTTTGTATATTGTAATCCATTTTATATCCTACTATCCTTTGAAATTGATAAGGAATTAATATCCTTTATTTTACAGCTCAGGAAACTGAGGCTCAGAAGAATTGCATAACATACCTAAGGATCTGAGTGACAATCTCAATTAATCTTCACTCTTCTGAGTCAAAATCTAGTCTTCATTATTCTTGTTAGCATCATGCGATTAATGTGAATATTATAAAACAGTACATGGTTGAGAAAATAGTTTTTAAAAATGTCCTCAACCTTCAGAACTTGTGTTTGACCTTGTCAATTATTTAATTCTTCCTGCTGTTCTTTTTTCTGTATCACCATACATTTCTCCTAGAATAGTTCACAGTGTAACTAGTGCATACTGAATGCTCTGAATTGTACCACTGAACTATTCTATACTCTACTTTCTGTGATGAAAATCCATTCTCCTGCCGAAACCGGTTTGGCTCGGTGGATAGAGCATCGGCCTGTGGACTGAAAGGTCCCAGGTTCAATTCCGGTCAAGGGCATGTACCTTGGTTGCGAGCACATCCCCAGTGGGAGATGTGCAGGAGGCAGCTGATCGATGTTTCTCTCTCATCGATGTTTCTAACTCTCTATCTCTCTCCCTTCCTCTCTGTAAAAAATCAATAAAATATATTTAAAAAAAAAAAGAAAATCCATTCTCCTATTGGATTGCACACAAAAATTCATATATTTTTTTCACAGAAAGAGTCCATCAGTAAATAAATTATTTCCTGAGCATTCCTTAGTTCCACATTTTCAACTCCTACAACTTCTTGGTGTGATGATAAAAAAAAGAAATGTTAACCTTGGTCAATGGGTATTTAATACGATTTTCTACCTTTAAAATTTTTTAACCTCAAAAATTCAGCATTGTGAAAAAATTTTGATGTTTAAAATTCCAAATATTATTGCTTCTTTATGAAAAGTCATTTTTAATAATAAATAAGGTAATTACTAAATCTCATATTCTGTAATAAATTACATAAACTGGCTAATATACATGTGTGAATTTTTTTCCCTGTTACTTTTTCTTCTGGGTGTTGTGTATGATGGAAGACAGCGGATGAAGGAATTATCATTCTATTCATTATGCCTTACCATGTGGCAGATTCCACAGGAGTTTGTGAAGCTTCAACTTAGCCATGAAGAGTTCCTCTGTATGAAAGTATTGCTACTCCTTAATACAAGTGAGTATAAGTAACGTAATATAAAATACTTACTTTTTTATTTTTTTATTCATTAGGAAAGTTTCAAACAACTATATGATCATATGATTATACAGGAGGTATGAATCTTCTATTGTAACTGCAAAGGAGAAACACCCATTCTACTGTTATAGACATTAATAAAGTTTCATCCTATTTCTCAGGTTTTACTTAACACATAATACTAAATAACCTATCAGTTCAACCAATTCCATTTTTTTATAAAACATTAAATGGTTTTTTTAAAAATATATTTTATTGATTTTTTACAGAGAGGAAGAGAGAGGGATAGAGAGTTAGAAACATCCATGAGAGAGAAACATCGATCAGCTGCCTCCTGCACACCTCCTACTGGGGATGTGCCCGCAACCAAGGTACATGCCCTTGACTGGAATCGAACCTGGGACCTTTCAATCCACATGCTGATGCTCTATCCACTGAGCCAAACCAGTTAGGGCTTCAATGATTTTTTTATGTTCACACATTTAAGTTATTATAAACTAATGAATATTGCATAGACACAAACTATGCTTCTCTCTACCCACCCCACCAAGGATTTACTATATAAACTACATAATTTTGTTTGGAATCATTCTCTATGTTAGGATAGGCTGTTGTAATAAATAACTACAAAGAACAGCAGCATAATACAATAGCAGTTTATCGCTCACAACCATAGTCCAGTAGGTTAGCAAGAAAACCCAGGCTCCTTTCCTAAAGGGACACCACCCTCTCCTAGCAGCTTGGAGTATGCCACCGGGTCTGACTAGAAAATGAACACGGAGTGAGAAAGGTTTGGAGGGGAAACCTGGATGTACCTTATGTCATTTCCACCCACTTCCCATGGCCCACCTTAAGTACAGGAGAGGCTGGGAAATGCACCTGAGCTCTATACTCAGAAGAAAAAGAAAATGATATATTAGGAAGCATAGCTTTGGTCACCAGAAAGTAGGGGCATTTTATTTAATTCTCTCTCTCTTTTTTTTGTACACAAAGAACAGTGTACCTCTGTCTCAGTGGATCCTCAAGGGTTTGGGTGAGAAAATTTTTAAAACCGCTTTTACCTTTTACCCTTTTCTGTGCTCTTTCCATGCACAGATAAGCTCAACTTGAGTGTTTGAATCGAGCCTTCATTCATAGTGATCTGAAAGAGAACAACAGAAAGCTAAGGTCTTAGGTAGAAGGTGAGCCAAAGGTCTTCTCAGCAGTATCTTTGCAGGAACTTCTTTCTAGTGCACACATCTCAAATAGGAGTAACCTATCAAGAGTAAAGGCAGAAAAGCCAAACCCTTAGAAAAGTCAGGGACTGATTCAGGATCTAAGGATTTATAGCCTATTTTCCCCCTGGAAAACCCACTGGAGCAAAGACCTTCAAGCCTAATTTGATGAAGTGCATAAAGTGGACTAAGGGCATTGATATGAGACTGGCCAAAAGAGTCAAATGGCATAAATTTAATATTACAGCAGTTAACTTCTGCCCTTCTCGACAGAATGAATCAGTTCTGCCATAGATGGTCTTATATTATCTCCCAAATTATTTATTATTAACATAATTATGTATTTATGGATAGACTCCATTATGACCAAAAAATCCCAAAATCTCAGTAGCTTAACAACAACAACAAAATTCTGAGTATTTATTCTTCCCACTACATGTTTAATGCAAATCAGCAAGAGGGCTCTGCTCATTATTATCACCTGGTGCCCAAGCAAATGGAGGCTGTATCTTGACACATACTCCCATAGTCACTAGAGCCATGGAAAGGAAGGGAATAAATAGGTATGCACTACGAAAATTTGGAGCCAGGGGAGGGAATTTAGAAAGCTACAATAATTACTACAGTGTGAGAAAAGAATAGATATGTTGAACTGTTATTCAAGTCTGAATAGTATATATTAGAACTTAATATACCATAATATGAACATCACAAATCAATGAGTATGGAATAAACATTGTTGGAAAAATACTGTATATTTTGGAAAAACTTGGTTTGGATATTTATCTGAAATTATGTTCTAAGATAATACCAGATAATTAACTTAAATGTAAACATTTATGTTGTTAAAAACAAACTAAAATTAATATAAATAATTTTGAAAACTTAAATAAGGAATATCTTTTAAAAATAAATGCAGTGATCCCTGGCTGGTGTGGCTCAGTTGGTTGGGCATTGCACTGAAAGGTTGTTGGTTTGATTCCTGGTCAGGGCACATGCCTGGATTGCCAGCTCTATCCTTAGGAGGAGGGTATGTGTGTGCAGCAGGCAGCCAAACACTGTTTCTCTCTCTCCCTCTGCCTTCCTCTCTTTCTAAAAATCAATTTTAAAAAAACTTTTTAAAAATGCAATAAGTAAGTTGGCAAAAGGAATGTTTGATGATTGGATGCATAAGAATTTAAGCCTCCCATTTTCCATTATAAACTAAAATACAAATCTTCAGCAAAATATGGCAGGTTAAACACATACATTTTTCCATTGGTTCCTCTAAAACTACACTAAAATATTAGCAATGAGATCTTTAAAAATAAAAATGAAAAGAGAATGAGAGAGGAATCAATAGCAATAAAATGTTGTAAGTTAGCAAGCACAACCAATTTAGCATACCTAAGCCAGAAGTAAGAAAATTCAAGAAGCGCCTTTATTTGTATCACTGAACCTCTGGCATGTTGTTCAATTGGTGACATTTATGAGTTTTTGAAAGGAGAGTGAAGGTAGAGTTAAAAATGGAGTTCTGTTGAAAGTCAGTTTCCAAATATCACCCAACCATGCCAGTTGTTTCTCACCAACTCAGACAGATATTGTAAATTATTCCCTGAAGAGGATATAACAGAAGAAAGCTGTATTGGTGAACCACAGGTACTGTTGAGGGTGAGAGTTTCCATGTTGAAAGCAGATTAAGATTATTTGCCAAATATTGAGGCAGCATACTTCTCCCACCTGTCTCCCAGAACCTTGCCTTCCAAATTTATATCCTCCAGATATGGAAAATGAAAATTTCTTCTCTGCAGAATCTGTTTAGCCAGAAAGAAAAATAACTAAATAATAGCAGGGATTTCTCTTTGAAATAGCTCAGCTAGATTTCCCTGCAATAAAGCTCACAGTCAGTGAGCACTACCCATTCAAATATAACTATCAATCAGCTTTTTAGTTTTCTACTCTTGAATATAAATAAACAATGAGGAATACTTTTGACATCAAAGACAAAGACAAAACAGAAAAAAAAAGAACTTAAAGGAAACAGAGACCATGGAGACAAAAGCTTCAGAAAAATAGGAAAGTTAACCCCTCCTTAGAAGATAAGAGAACATATTGTACCCCATGAAATTAAGAAGTGGATACTATGAAAAAAGAATAATATGAAAAGGAAAGAGCCCTTGAAAACTAAAATTATTGATATGTATGTGAAGAATTTAAAAGTCAGTAGAAGCATTGGAAGACAAAGTTGAAAAATGTCTTAAAAGTAGGGGAAAATACTAAAATTTGTGGGAAATCAGAATCAAGAAGGAGATCTGACACCCAAATTGTTAACGATCTAGCAAGAGAAAATAGTAAAATACAAAAGAAGAAATCAACCAGGCATCTTAGACAAGCGACAATAGGACCTATAGATTTAAGCAAAAAGTTATAGGTAAATTGACAATGGAAATAAGAGACTTAGCCATAAGAACAGGAAGTTGTGCCTAGAATCTAGATATATGAATTAAAGATTTCAGAGGTAAATATCTAAATTACTAGTTAACATATAATAAGAGCCATTTCCATTAAAGTCAGCAACAAAATAGGAGCATTTGTCACCACTATTATATTTACTATTCTGGAAGTTCTGAACAATGCACTGAATCATGAAGCAGAAATAAGAGCTACAACTACAGTCATGCATTACTTATAAAGACATTGGGTGATTTCATCATGTGTGAAAAATAGAGTGCACTTACCCAAACTGCACACGTAGGCTATATGGGATCTAGCCTACTGTAGGGGAGTAAAAATAATTTCTCCTCTATTCAGCTTGGTTCTTGGCTGAGACATCCCTGTAATAAATGACAGGAGAAAAACAGAAGTGTAATAACATGTATACCTCCTGAATACATGGAAGAGACCTAGGAAAACTTAGTAATTTGCCAAATAGCTGAAGCCACACTTTAAATTCCATCTTCAGCTGCAGACAAAAGAAGCTTATGGTGGAAGGGAGGCAGTTATTGGAGGTTAACAAGAAAAGTAGAGTCAACAAGGTAAAGATTTAAGTCACTGTCTTCTGCATTGATAAGAGTTCCTAGAGATAAAGTCATCCCCCACTTCCTGATACAGAGCAGAAGACACCCTTTGGAGATGTCCCTTAGAATTGTAAATACCTTTTACAAAGAGTAACTTCTACTGGGCTTTCAGAGTTTCTCCCATGTCTGCTGTTTTTTAAATTAACCAGCCTAAAATAATCCTTATACCAAATAGACATATTTGGGGTGACAGATTCTTCCCCTATATCTCCTGGGCTAAAAAACTGTACAGCATGTTACTGTGCTAAATACTACAGGTAATTGTAACACAATGGTAAGTATTTGTATAATATATTGCATTACAACATCAGTAGGCGATAGGAATTTCCCAGCTCTATCATATTCTTATGGGACCACCATTGTATATGCCCTCTGTTGTTGACAGAAACCTCATTATGTGGTACATGACCATACTGGAAAGAGGAAAATGAAGGTATTATTTGAATATAGTGTTGTATACCAAGAAAACAAAAGCTAATCACCCCAGAATTAGAATTAAAATATACATTTAAAAATATAAAAACAATATAATCAAGTGAAGGGATATAAGGGAAATATTCAAATAGCAATGGTTTTCTCCCATATTAACAGGAAAGAGTTAGAAACTTTAATGAGGTAATGTTAAAATGACAACAAAAAAGATAAATTATCCAGTAATAATCTTAATGAGAGATACTTGAGATTTATATGATATTGACATAAGAAACATCCAAATCTATAGACAATTGTACAAGAGTTTATATGAGCCAAACTAATGACAGTTGCCAGGAAGCAAATCTTAAATGCTCCAGAGAATGACAGTTTGCAGTTTCTTTTGAATTAAGGAGGAAAGGTAAGGAAGATTGCCTGAAGGTGGGAGAAAGCAAGGCAGAGATTGGAATACAGGACAGTTAAGATTATGTGCTCTCTTGAGGGTCTGAAAAAGAGGATTAATTCTGACATTTCAAAGGTGTGTTAAGGTTGTTGCACAAGAACAATGGACAGGGCTAGCTTAAAAACCTTTCAATAAGGAAGTCATAGACTTGGACATGACTACTCACTATGACCTGCCCAGTTAGGAATTTATGATCAGATCACCCTGTAAGGTTCTTCTGTTAGATTTATTACAGCACTCCTTCTTCATCCATAGAACACAAGACTTCACAGAGAAATCCAAGTATTTGTTAAAAGGAAAGAAAGAAAAAGACTACATGCTGTTGCACACTTAATCAAACCCAGTATTTGAGACAAAGCTGTAGAATACTGTCAGGTGCTCTTTTAAGCAAATTCTAACTTAAATACAATTGACACAGCTCTAATATAGGTAAGCTGAAATGTTTATATTACCCGCTTATTCTTATATTCTTCCAGAGAACCAGAAATTTATATGTCCTAAAAGTATCGGTAACACTATTTCTTATTTAATATGTTGTGTATAGAGTTACATATCAAAAAAATCATCACACAGCCCAAAAATTTGTTTTATAAACCACTTGTGTCATCATTTTAAGCATAATTGACACCTGTGATTGTCTTTCTACAGTTCCTCTGGAAGGGCTAAGAAGTCAAAACCAGTTTGATGAAATGAGAGCAAGCTACATTAGAGAGCTCATCAAGGCAATTGGGTTGAGGCAAAAAGGTGTTGTCTCTAGTTCACAACGTTTCTACCAACTAACAAAGTTTCTTGATAACTTGCATGATGTAAGTATTTCATTTTCTAGAATATCAATGAATATTTTCTGAATTTCTATAACTTTTTAAATATTAAATGTAAATTTTACGTCATATGGTTTCCTTAAATTTATAGTTGTACTTATATTTTAAAACAGTATTTGCATCATATTGCTCAGAATTTATATTTTGCTTTGTTTATTTTTGATATAGATCACCTAAATATCCTCTTACTAGTATTTTTATAATTTGAGGGTAATCTAATAGTTGATAAGAATTGTGATACATTTTCCTGAATATGTTCTAAAATACTTTGGCCTTCAGTTGGACAAAATTTACAGGAAAAGCAAAAGTATGGATGTGGAAAATAACACTCTCATAGTATTTTTGATGGAATTATAAGTTAATAACAATTGAGGAGGAAAAAAATGTTCCTCTACCCTTCAAGATTCTTTTGGCTGGTCTAATAATTAAATGTACATAAGACAAGTTAACAAGAGACAATAACCCAATTTAATAACATATATACATATGGGAACCCCTCATGCATGAGAAAGTCAGAGACACCACATACAGTAGAGGTTCAGAGAGAGGAAGTTAAAATGAGGTGTAGATGGCAAACTCTGTGAGTTTGGTAAGTTCGTTTTTTATTATTATTAGATTCCACATATACTAGTAAGTGAGATCATACAGTCTTTGTTTGACTTATATCACTTGGCATAATGCCTTTATGGTCCATCCACATTGTTGCAAATGGTAGATTTCTTAATTTTTTATGGCTGAATAATATTTCATTGGGTATATATTTTATATACACATGCCATCTTCTTTATCCATTCATCCATTGATGAACATGTAGGTTATTTCCTTTGTGTATTATAAATAATGCTGCTATGAATATGAGGGTGCAGATGTCTTTTTTAGCTAGAGTTTTTGTTTCCTTTGGATATATTCCCAGAAGTGGAATTGCTGGATCAATGGTAGTTCAACTTCTAATTTTTTGAGGAACCTCCATACTGTTTTCCATAAAGACTGTACCAATTTACAATTCCCCCAACAGTGTGCAAGAGTTCTTTTTTCTGTACCTCCATGCCAGCACTTGTTATCATTTGTCTTTTTACTCAGGACCTTTCTAACAGGCATAAGGTGATATCTCATTGTGGTTCTCATTTGCATTTCCCTAATGATATCTTTTCATGTACCTGTTGGCCACTTGTATATATCTTCTTTGTAAAAATGTCTATTCAGGTCTTTTGCCCATTTTTTAATTGGGTAATTTGGGTTGGGTTTTTTTGTTTGTTTGTTTGTTTGTTGGGGTATTTTTTGCTACTGAGTTATAGGAGTTCTTTATATATTTCAGATAATAACCTCTTACCAGTTATATGGTTTGTAAATATTTTTCCCCATACCTTTGGTTGTGTTTTCACTTTGTTGATAGTTTCTTTTGCTGTGCAGAGGCTTTTTAGTCTGATGTAGTCCTGCTTTTTTGTTGTTGTTGTTGTTGCTTGTGTTTTAGGTGTGATTTCCAAAGAATCATTACTAAGACTTATGTCAAGGAGCTTTTTTTCTCTATTTTCTAATAGGCATTTAATGCTTTCAGTTCCTACATTTATTTATTTTTTTAAATATATTTTTATTGTTTTTAGAGAAGAAAAGAGAGGGAGAAAGAGAGAAGCATCAATGATGAGAGAGAATCATTGATCAGCTGCCTCCTGCACGCCCCCTACTGGGGATTGAACCCCAAACCCAGTCATGTGCCTGACTGGGAATCAAACCATTACCTCCTGGTTCATAAGTCGATGTTCAACCACTGAGCTATGTCAGTTGGGCAGTCCTACATTTAAATCTTTAATTAATTTCAAGTTAATTTCTGTAAGGGGTGTAAGAGGAGTCAAGCTTCATTAAGTATTATTGGCTCCCTTGTCAAATGTTAGTTGAGCCCCAGGCAGGTGGCTCAATAGATTGGAGCATTATACATACAAAAAAAAAAAGGTTGTAGGTTTAGTCCCCAGTCAGGGCACATATCTAGGTTGTGGGTTCCATACCTGGTCAGGGCATATGAGAAACAACTAATCAATGTTTCTCTCTGACATCAATGTTTCTCTCTCTCTCCTCTCTCCCTTCCTCCCTCCCTCCCTTCCTCTCTTCCATTTTCTTTAAAATTAATAAACATATCCTCAAGTGAGGATTTTAAAAAACTTAGGTGATTATATATACTCTGGTTTATTTCTGGGCTCTTAATTTTGTTCCTCTGGTTTATTGGTCTGTTTTTATCACTATAACTTTATTGTATAGCTTGAAATCAGAAAGTGTAAGTCTCCTGCTTTGTTCTTCTTTCTCAGGATTTCTTTGGCTTTTTGAGGTCTTGTGGTCAATTTAGTTGCTCTTTCTGTCTGCTCCGGGACAAGGCACAGGACACATCTGCCTATTTGGCCGTTTTTCCTTCCACCTACTTTCACTTTTTAAAATCCTATTTTACTATTATAACATTACACAGTGTGTGATATTTTATATATTCTAGAAAGTGGAGCTAGTTATTTTCATTTTGGTAAGAAGAAAACATCTTGGCGAGTATTTATATTGTTAGAAAAATAAGTTGCCGTGCTTGAATAGTATATGAATTTTTTACTTTTCTTACATTTTTTTTCCCATTTGTTAAACCAACAGCTTGTTAAACAACTTCATCTGTACTGCTTGAATACGTTTATCCAGTCCCGGGCACTGAGCGTTGAATTTCCAGAAATGATGTCTGAAGTTATTGCTGCACAATTACCCAAAATCTTGGCAGGGATGGTGAAACATCTTCTCTTTCATAAAAAGTGAATTCAATTTTTACCTTTAAAAATTAAATTTTGTCGTATGTCTGTTTTTGTTTGGGTCAGGATTATGAGGTCTCAAGTTCTTACAATGTTCTTCTCAAAGCCTTACATATCATATCATTCTGTATAAATTCCAGAGAAAATTGTGAGATTTTAACTGTTTTCATTTATACGGTGTAATTAGAATTTTAAGTGTTTTGTGTACCCATATTTTCTTTAAGAGTTTACAAGACTGAAAAAGTACTAAAATTGAGGGTTAAGGTAAACTTAATCTTATACATATTATTTCATACCATTTAGGTGAAGATTTTAAACTTTTGCATCTAACAAATCTGTTTTAGCGAGAGAAAAAAATCTTACACGTAATACTAAAAAGCTATTATATATGTTCCTTTAGGCAGATCCCTTTGTCTCTTCGATTATTTTTTTAAAAATGGACCTTTAAAATGGTATGCAAAATTTTGTCTACATGAGTGTATATACATTTTTGTTAGAAGGAAATTTATAACCTTTAAAAGATTTTCAAGAGTTTTTAAATGCAGAAAATACATAGAGAAAAGGAGTTTAAATTTTTGAAATAGATTGATGTTCCTCAAACTAGGAAAAGTAACTCACATATAAGACTGCTTCCCAGTCTGGGGACATAAATCTCTAAAGAAGTTATTAAGTAGAGCCATACTATTATGACAATAGTATTGTGGGTTTTATAGGTTTTTTACTAACTTTTGGGAATTGTCCTCTAGTAAGATATTATGAATCGAAATGGGAAGTCAGAAGAGTTGCTGGCCTAATTCCACTCCTTACTTGAGAGCATGTGGAAAGTCACTTTACTGATTCTCAATTTCCTCACCTTTAACTCTGGTATAATAATATCTTTATTGCAAAATGTTCCTTTTGATCAGAGCTTCTTATTAACATCTTCTGTAATTCAAGAAGCCAAAAATGGAGGGAGGAAGGGAGGGAGGGAGGGAGGGAGGGAGAGAGGGAGGGAGGTAGGGGAGGGATAGAAAGAGAGGAGTATTATTTTCTTACTCTACTCAGTGAAGCATAATAGACTAATCGCAGGTTGAAACTTTTTGAGTGCCTTTGTTCTAATTCTAAGAGAGATACTTCAGGGAATACTAGATACTGTCTTAAAGTGATGCAACCAATTATAATAACTAGAAAACACAATTTTTATTTTTATTGTCATATGAACGGAAAATATTCTTTTAGATGAGTTCTTTCCTGAGATGAGTCACTCTATATATATATATAGATATATATATATATATAAACAGGAAGAACTAAGTTCATAGCACTGGTAAAGTTCAATTGAAATCAATCATTGTTTTCTAGATAAAGTAATTTATACCAAAGGCATATCTATGTGCCTATTATAGGTCATGTATATGATACATATATAATTTTTAACAACCCAGAGAAATCAGAGACCCAATTCTTTTTCTAAATTTCTTTAAAGTTAGACATTATCTGACAAATAAAAATACCACCTTATGCAAATGAATAGTTGTTAATGAGAAAATCAAAATAACTTCTAAAACAATATAGAAAACACTGAAGTTTGATTTCTTAATGAGTTTTTAATTACTCATTCCATTCAACTGATAAATACTTGCAGTTTAACAAGGGACACAAACATAGAATAATATTCATGAATACTAGTGTGACCTCCAAAACAAGATAAAGTGGTTTCATCTGATTAAAAAATTGGCATTATTGGTTTTTTACTAATAATTTCTTCAGTTTACAAACAAGAATTAGCTATGAGTATCTATAAATAGTAGGTTCTCAGAAGGCATTTGAAGTGTGTATTAAAACAAGCTCCAACCAGGGCCTTTGCCTTGAGTTCACTAGATTTATGTGGCAAATATGACAGATAATATGCAAATCAAGTAACTCTTGGTTATAACATTGAATAACAGTTTAACCTAAGTATTCCAAATAGTCTCAACATTAGTATAACAATGGTCTCTTCCTTAGTATGTCTATGTCATGTCTTTTCTGTGAATGCATATGTTTTATAATAGACACTACTGGTATTCAGTTCTTCAAAGTATTTATACACCCACACACTCATTCTCTCTTGCACTATCCAGGCCAAAGTTTTCTTCCTTAAAAGGATCTAATTACGCTAATTCCTCATTGAAAATATTCACTGACTTCCAGTCACTTATTATAGTGATTCTCAACTATAGCTGCACTTTAGAATCTCCAAGTAAGCTTTTCAAAAACACCTTTAACTGGACTCCTTCCTCGGAGATATTTTATTTGGTCTACTTTTCTTATCAATGCCAGCACATAGTAGTAGGAGTCTGAAATGGTGTTAAAGCATCACTTCTTACAACTTTCTTCTCTCTGTCCAGCACTGTCATATATTCATCTTATGTTCCAGTCATGTAAATCAATTTTCTACCCAAATTTTCACCTTCAGATACCAGTCCCATTTATATCTCAACATTTAACACTCAACCAAACATCATTTCTATGTCTTCCCTGCATCTTCCAGGCAATTATTTGTTTCCCCTAAGGTTCACCATGCATTTTGTGCACATTTGAATTGCAATAGTGAGTTGTTCTATAATTCCAACTCTCCTACAAGTCTGGGAGCCACCTGAGGTGCGTCAATAGCATTTCTTGACTGAAAGTTCAATGACTTGTTCTTTCTATATTTTTGGTATTACTGTGGATCTCTCTCATTCTTTTGTTACATCACTCCATGTCTCTGCACACATGACTTTATCACCTTATCTTTCCATGGTCCCTCTCTCTATCTCTTCATTTCTCTTTACCTTTTTTTTTTTTAATTTTCCACATCTCCTACTTTGTGAGATCTCTCCTTGTACTGATTATACCATAGGAGAATGTAAGTACATTTTATATTTATTAAGAACACTTAGTGCTCCTTGTTCTAAATTTTTAAATTGAATGAATGGAATATCATTTTCCTCCCTAAGGAAAATTCAGAGAATGAAATTGTTTCTTTATAGTTAAGTAGCCCTAAATTGTTTGTATTATAAAACTCAGTGTATAAATTTTTCTGATTTCTGATTTCATTCAACAAGTATTTATTGAGTACCTGCTATTATTGCCAAAAAAGTGCTAATAAGCATTGTTCTTCTATGCTATTGTTCCTTGTATCTCAAGAAAGTTACAGTCTGATAGTAGGTTTAAGTCACAGTGCCTTAAATAGGAGACACTCAAATTTTTGTTGAATGTACAAATGAAAAATGTAATGTGATTTTTGATAGTTCAAAGGATTGTTTATGCATAACTTTACTGAGACAAATGCATTACAACATAAGATACTAATTTTAAAATAAATATCAAATAATTCCTTAGTTTAGTCATATCAGAATTCATTTGCATTAAATCTGTGTGTATATTTGTTGAAAAAACTTTCAATGTCTTTTTCCCAAAAATTTCATCCCAATAAATGCATTTTTAAATTTCATATATAATAAAGAAAACCTACCAATGTGGGAATGGTACCTCTCAGAATGAATTGTGTGACATAGGTAAATGAATGTAGGTGTGTCCAAAAATAAAAACAATGTCATTAGCCTTTCACACTCAAGTAATGACCCAAGAGAACAGTTAATGATGTGATCATTTTGTTATCTGATCTTCTTACTTTGAATTAAAACAATATTTTTTCATCAACACAGACTTAAATTTCAACATAATTTTTTAAAAAAATTTTTACATAATTTTAATGTCCTGATTTCACTCACCTATGGGGGAATAGAATTTGGTGATCAGAAGGGTTGGGTTTCCTTATTTTGCAAGCTCATAGGATGTTTGATATTTTTTATGTTGATCTTAATTCATAAAGTGCATGTCTAAATACTAGGATTTAATATTTTGTGCTAATCTTAAAAAAAAGAAAAGCTTATGAAAAACAACATGACATCACCAAATGGGAGATATCTAGTCTCTAAATCTTTTGCTCTACAAACTCCTGACTACTGATATCTCTTTTTATGAAGTCATTATAAACTTTATTTTTTAGGTCACGCTCTTTGTGGTAGCTCTAAAATGAAATTATATCTATATCATAAAAAACAGGTTATATATCAGAAAATACTTGAAGGTTACTCAAATAGACTATTGAGTTAATGAAATGTTTCCCTTTTAAAGGTTTGAGAAGCCATTTGAGTCTGAAGCTATTGTACCTCTAATATCAGTTGTTATATAACAATTTTTGTGTTTTCATTAAAAAATGATACTTTATAATTAGCCAACAGTATTATTTTTTATTTATTTAACATTAAAATAATTTATTGCTACACAGAGGATAGACAATATGTTTCTGCCAAAACAATGCCTTTTCTATAGTTAGGGCATATCAACCTGTAACTTGTAAATTACCCACAGCTACAGTGATATAATTATAATGGATACTGTGGAAACAGCAGACCGAGGCCTGTGACCCACTTCTCTGGCATTAACTATCTGGATGAGCTTAAGCAAATCACTTCACCTCTCTGATTAAACCTGCCTTTGCTGAATCGTTTTATGAAAATAGAAAATAAAAATAAGTACACAGGTGTTCAGAAATGGTAACCGCTATTATGTTTTCATTAAGCCATAGTTCTAGCTACAACTTTACCAGATTAATCTGGTATATTCTATAGTGAAATCAAGGAATATAGAAATTCAGTTTGTTTCCTCTATGTACATATGAATATTTGATGTATTTTGATTTGAAATTAGAGCTAGAAATATTCAATTAATTTCTTCATAGTCTTTTGAGTTTGGGGTTTGTTTCATTAAAAAATCTAAAGAGCCTACCACCCTTTTCTTGTAAATCAATTAAGAATAATGATACTGATTTTGACATTTTAAAGTATCTCTTTAAAATATAGAGAGCTTGACTAGAACACAACCCCTCCAAAATTCGATGTTATGTATTACATGCTCAGACCATTTTTACTATGATACTAATTCCACAAAAGGGAATAATGGGTCTAGAAATCATGATGAAGTCATCAATACAAAAAATAACATTCTTATTCTTAATAAGGTTATAATACAAAATAGCCACAAGAGATTTTCATGTCTGCCTTGATCTGATATCTTACATTCCTTTGGTGAGATGGCTATTAAATTTCTGGAGTTTTTCTTGCGATGAATACCTAAGTGATTTCTCTCATCTATACTATCTTTTACACACCAGATTTCAGGATAGAATATGAATTTTTAAAAATTACCTTGACACTCTCCAAAGCATTGTGTATAATCCCTCAACACTCAAAGAAATTTTTCCCAAATTTAAATTTGTCTCATTTTCATATTCAAGAACTCAACAGCCATGTCTTCACTGATAAAGTGAAATGGAGAACAGACACCCCATGGAATGCTATAACTCTCTTTTGCTCAGTGTATGCCTTTTAAATAGCCATTAGATATTGGGAATGTTGACATCCCTTAAATTTTACAGGGAAT